TTTAATATACGAGAGGAGACGTGTATGAAATGCCTTTTCATATATTTTTGAAAACACAGATAAAAGTGATAGGCCCCGATAGTTATCAAATTTTGATTTGTCACCTTTTTTATGTATAGGCACAACTAGAGCAGTATTTAGAATTTGAGGAAAAATCCCTTCCTAAAATGAAAAGTTTACTAGAAATGTTAATTGTTGATATATGTTATGAGATACATGTAATAACATAGAATACGGGATCTCATCCAGTCCAGCAGAGGATTTTTTTAAGATATCTTTAATTATACTCTTTATTTCTTCATCACTAACAGGATAAAGGAAAAGGGAGTGTATAGGCGAAGAAAGATTCTTAGGATTATAGTCAGGTGAAGTTTGACTAATTAAATTTTTTACGGAATTCGAAAAATGTTAACTAAAAGATTCAGCTATATCACGAGGGTCATCCACAGAAATTCCCAAATTATTTTTAAATTTACTTGGGTATTTAGACGAGTTTCGATTTTTACCTCCGACAGTGTTTCGATTTATGATGCGCCAAGCCTCAGCCATACTATTCTGTGCATTTATCATTTTATTATTAAAATAAGTTTGCTTGGCTAACTTACCTTTACGTTTCGCCGATGATATACTTATAATAGCTGAAGATCTAGGTATGGCAAGAGAGATGGTACAGGAACTCGTTGTGGCTACAGAAAATGTAGGTTTAAATATAAATATCTCGAAAACAAAAATCATGACCAATTTGGTGCCCAACCAGAATATCAGTATTGGTGGGAAAGAAATAGAATTCGTAGATAGATATAAATACCTGGGACATGTAATTATGATTGGCAGAGATAACCAGACTCATGAACTGAAGAGAAGAGTCGGCCTTGGGTGGGCAGCATTTGGAAAACTGAGAGAAACTTTTAAAAGTGAGCTGCCCACATGCCTAAAGAGAAAGGTATTTGATCAGTGCGTCCTCCCAGTCTTGACGTACGGAGCAGAAACACTTACCTTAAAAAAAGCAGCAACTACCAAACTGAGAGTCACGCAGAGAAGAATGGAGCGGTCCATGTTAGGAATAACTCTCCGAGACAGAATAACAAACGAAGACATCAGGAGAAGAACCGGAGTGACTGACATCATCGAGAAGATAGCCAGACTAAAATGAAGATGGGCAGGACACATAGCCAGAATGACAGATGGGCGATGGACAAAGAGGTTATTGGAATGGAGGCCAAGGGAAGACAATAGAAGCGTCGGTCGACCACCTACAAGATGGACTGACGATTTCAGAAGACTCAATAAAAAAAACTGGATAAGAGCGGCGCAAAATAGACGGGGTTGGAAACATGAGGAAGAGGCCTATGTTCAGCAGTGGACTCTTGAGGCTGGATGATAAATTATCTGCTTACAAAATTAGATTTTAATAAAATCATTGATCTGTTTGCAAGTAGGAAGTCCAGGAAAATTTGTTTGTAAATAATTATGTTAATTTACTTTATAAGTTGTGAGTTTGTGTCTTTGTGGCTTTTTTGTATATTTGTAACAAATTACGTAATAATATTAAAACAGTTTTAATGAATTGTTAACCTAGACGCATCTATACCCACTGGAGAGTGGCGGTATAGTATGACTTAGCCCCCGGCGGTCCATGAACTAAATCCGGCACTGCGTGTCACATTACATTTTATTGGTGATTTTTATTTTTTATGACGCCTAATCGTATTTAAAAAAAAAATAAAAATATTTGGTTTTGATTGATATAAAGTTTACTACGCAATTAAAATAAGGTAACAATAATTATTTAAAAATCAAAAGATGTATTAATAAAAGGGAAGTATTTTTTTAAAGTGTTTAAAAGATTTAATTAATAGCTGAACGCTATCGACTTGCAAAACCATCTTCGGAGCTATGCTACAAGAGAGCAATGATGTAAATAACTAATTTTAATTTAACAATGATTCACTTACGTCAAATAATAGAAGAGGTCATGTGATTAGCAGAAAAATGCTGATTTTATTTTTGATTTTTTTTTTCTTTCTTTAAACAATGAAAAAAACACAAACAACTCTACACTGGACTCCACAAAAAACACATTAAAAATGTTGACTATAATATGGTTTTTAATTTTTTTAATGTGTTTTTTGTGTACAGTCCTTTGTGTCACTTTTCCATCTTTTGATTTGTTTTAATTGTGTACAAAAAGATATCAGTCCTTTCATTTAATAATTATTTATGTTCAAAGATGGGTTTATTATTTTTTGAGCGTTTCTCGTATATAAAATGACTTAGATATAATATAAGAGAACTGAGAATCTTTAAACTCCCAAAAGAAGTCTAAAGATTAAGATACCCTTCTTTTTGTATCTGGACATAATTCTTTCTGGTTTTAAACGTGACTCCTGTAAGTTGTTATTCCATCGTTTTCGCGATTTTTCCACTGATCATCTTTCTATTAGGGAATCGTTCCTCGCCGTCTTTACTACTCTATTTGTTGTCATTCGGCTCATATTATCGTCCTATCCTATTCTTTCTTACCAAGTCCTTGATGTTCTCCCCGTCGTATATCTGTACTTCTAAATCTATCCTATAATATCTTACCATCGATTTTTCAAAGGGTTCTCATTTCTGTTGCTTCCGGCATTCTTTTTGTTTTCTTTGTATCAGGTCGTATTTTTGCAGCTTATGTTATTGGTCTGATATTTTTTAAATTCTGCCTGTCATTTATTTCTCGATTTTTTTTATTCCATTTTGTTTTATTTAGGCCTCCTGCGGCCCTGTTTGCTCTATTACCTTGATCTTTCCTTTCTGTTTCGAGTTTTTCGTAGGTAGATAGTCAAATGCCTAAATATTTAAACTCCTATTGTCAGCTTCAATTGGGTTTTTTTTACTTCTATTAATTTTATTGTGTTGTTCCATTATTCTATCGTTTTGATTATTCTTAGACGATCTGTCTTGCGTACAATAAGTAAATAACGTCCTTTAATTTGACTCTGCCAAATGCAAATTTTTAAGGTCCGCAAGACATACATATGCCAGTTTGTTGTATTTTAATGATGTCTCTTGCACTTGCCTTATTGAAAATATAGGTAGCGTCGTTGTAAGATCTTCCCAACCTAAAACCTTGTTATTCTTCTGCTAGTGATAGAATATCATTCAGTTTATTTTATATCACTTTGGTTATTAATTTTGGTGTTGTGTTTAATAAATGAATTCCTCTGTAGTTCTATAGGTCCGATTTGTCTCCATTCGTTTGGTATTTTGTAATTTCTTGATCATTTTCTATTTTTTCCTTAATGCTTTCATTACTTCTCCCTCATAAATGTTTATTTCTTCGTCTGTCATTACTTCTGGTGTTAATAGTTCATTATCGTCACTTTTCATCTCTTTTCTTTCTCTCTCCTCTAGTTGTGTTTCCATATTTTTTTTTTGTGTTTCGTAGAAGTCGTGTTCCATCTGGTTTAAGAAGCTCTCCCAGTGTTTCCATTTTATGTGTCTAACCAAAGTATTCGTTTCTTTCGGAATTCTTTTATAGTGGTTATATGTCTGCTTGATTTGATTTGTTCTGTATTGTAAAAGGTTCTCTTTTTTTCTTCACATTTTGTTTTCACTTCTTCTCTAAACCACAGGGTTTTCTCTTTTAATATGTTAGTGTTCGTTACTTTCCTCTCTACAAGTGATTGTGTTGCTGCGTTAATTATGTTATTTTTCAGTTTTTCCCAGCTTCCCTCAATATTATCGTTATTATTTTATATATCGTTATAATATCTCATTCTCAGAAATCTTCTCTAAACTTTTTCTGTGTAAGTATTCCGTGGATTCGGTATTTATGATGATTCTTATTTTGTATAATATTATACTATGTTCGTTACCTACATTTGCTGAGTTGAGGTACTCCTCGATTATTTTTAATAGATGGATATCTCTGTTGGTTATAACATAATCTCTTGTAGATCTTTGTCCACGGGTGTTACTGAATGTATATTTGTGTTGCTCTTTGTGGTAAAAAATGTGTTGTTTATTCTAAGTTCAATATTCGTGCAGAAGTTTATCATCAGTATGGTTTGGAATCGAATTCAATGACTAGTGAGGTCTGAAGCTCATAATTTTTAGTAGGTGGAATTATGTACACTGGTCTTTGAAATAAAAGGATATGGCTATATTAGTCTCCTTAAATTCCAGCTTTTAAAAAGAAGATGGGAGTAGTAAGTCCTACTAATAGGTAGGTCTGGAGCATTTACTGTGATAGTGGGAATGTTGGTAATAAGCTGGTCAACAAGTTTAACCTTGCTTAGGTATATGCAGATCCAGTTGTTCGAGATTCCAGATGCAAGTATTATATTTTTTAGGCCAACAATATCACCAGTGGATTTAACATAGTCTAACAGGTTTATGTTTTCTTCTGAGTGATAAATAATTGCTTGCTCCGTTTTAGGAAAGGAAGGCTTGAGCCTAGATTTTAAAGCAGCAACGTAAAATGTGAGTGTTGAAGATTCGGTGTTACTGCTTTTCATAATTCATAATTTTATTGCTTTTGTAGTCAAAAGTAATAATTTGAGTAGTCAAGAATAATGTTTATATTTCTCCTGGAGTATTCACAAATAACCAGCTCATATTGTAAAATGTGTTGCCTATATAGGTTTGCTGAAAACCTAGAGCTCCTTGCAGAATTAATTGCTTTCGTATTAGTAGGTTGATAACAAAACACTAGACAGTTGTTTATAAATGTTGCAATACTTGCTTGTTGTCTGGAACACGTTGCATGCAGCAATGATGAAAATATCACCAATTTGTATACAAATGTTTAATTAAATACTAATAAAACTAGTATTTACGGTAATATACAGAGCGATAATTTACTTTGTGACTTAATAAACTCTCTAATTTCTAAGTATTACTTAATGAGCTCCAATATACAACAGTATGGTTATTAGAACACTGTCTGCTTTTTTTCAGATTAAATTTTTTAAAATTTTTGTATACTTAAACCACTCATTTAGCTTTTTGTTTTTTAGGTAAAAGCTTCAGCCGAACATATTCGAGAATGTCCAGAGTGGTATCGTAAAGATGGTCCACTAACTATAAAAAAGATAATAGATGAAGGCCCTAGAGTAATTTTGCCTGATTGTGATAAGGAAGGAAGGCCGATATTTTTATTGAGAAATGGTAAGTTGGACATATTTCATTTTTTATTTCCGTCTATTTCGATAGTGGTATTTTGCTGTGTGTATATCTTTGTTCTGTTTAAATTCATCGTATGGATTTGTTTCCAATTTAAATTGTTTTAACACATCTTTCGATGGCACATCTCTCTGTCTTTCATCTCTTTTGAAGTTTATTTTAATTATGGTCACACTTTATAATATTACATTAATTAGATGTTTTTTAAATAGAATTATATATCATTATATTACATTATTCAGTTGTTAAAGCATCTAAGGCTCTATGGAATCAAATTGCATATTCTTCTTCTTTAGGTACCGTCTCCTCTAAGGAGGTTGGTTTTTTTCACTTTTGAGATTGCAGCTCTGAAAAAGTCGACGGAACTGCAATTATACCACTTTCTCAGATTGTTGATCCAGGAGATGCGTCTTCTTCCAATATTTCGTTTTCCCTGTATTTTTCCCTGCATTATGGTTTGTAGCAACACATATTTATTCCCTCTCATAACGTGGCCGATATATTGTAACTTTCTTATCTTATGGCATCTCTTAAATGGCATATTGTAATCTAACAAACACATGGACAAACAAAATGGATGGATGGTAAATGTCGTATGTATATGTAATTTTCTAATTTGTGTGTATCGTCTATCTTGTTTAATATTTTTTTTTTGTATAACACCTGTAGGTACTTGTATACTGCGATCTGGTCACAAATAATCAATTATCAGCTACCTTCTGACCTAGCTTAATAAACAGCAAATATTTATATCTAAGGGCTTAACCTATAGCTTACTCTTATTTTATCTATCAACTAATGCATTAAAACTAACATCACAGCACTATACTCAGCTTGTGACACCAAACTGTTACACACTTACACTAACTCAAGTAGTTTTGTCCTAATGAGTCTTCTCTTTAGTTCAGTGTTGTTCAGTGTTGTCAACTATGTAGCCTCTGCTAGTAACTTGCTGATGTTCTCCTGAATACTTCGGTCACAGATTTCATATCCAGGTCCTGGTGGAAGTTGCTGTTATGGATATACCAAGGAGCATCAACAATGTTCCTCTGTACTTTGTTTTGAAATCTCTTTATAGCAGGGTTCCCCAACCTTTTCTTTGTTGGAGCTCCCCGAACTATAAATTAAATTTTCATGCCCCCTTTACTTTTTTAATAAATGCAACAAAAAACGCACATTATATACTTAAAATTTTATTTTAATTCTAATAAACAAATTTTAAAAGTTTAATTAAACTAGTACATGTTTTTTATCAAAAACATTAAATTTAACAAAGTAAATATTAATGAGACACTTGAGATTGCATATTCTGTACTATTTGGTTGATTCTAGGATCTGTTTTTCCAGAGCTATCATCAGGTCGCTATCGACATCAAGACGATTTCGCTGTTTAGTTTTAATTAAAACTAGAGCAGAAAAGCCTGTCTCACATAAGTAAGCTGAAGAAAAAGGAACTAGTATTCGTAAAGCAAGAGAGACAACCTTTTAATTAACAGGCAATTTTTTAATCCAAAATTTCTCCAATGTCAAGAGATGGAAGTCATCTTTCATGGACGAGTCAGCCATCATATCTAGAAATTCTTCCTGAATTTCTTCTGGTAATTGGAACACATCAACAACAAATGGATTTCTTGTTATACGCCATATTGGTGACTCTGAATTGATGTCTCGATAGTATCGGCGAAATTCGTCTTTCAGCGCTTGCAAATGAGTTTTTATGTCAGCTTTCAAATTTGCGTCAAGTATATTATTTTTAATTGCTTCGAATAGCCTAGAAAAAGACATAACATTTTCAGAAGAGATTTTTTGATTCCAAAGTTGAAGCTTTGATATGAACCCCTGAATATAATCATAATTGCTTATTATAGTGCCGTTAATGCCCTGAAGTTTTAAGTTTAGTTCATTCAAGGCATCGAATATGTCAGCCAAATAAGCTAACCTCCATTGAAATGTGTCATCTTTGAACATTGTGAAGAAATCGTGTTTTTCTTTGAACTCGAGAAAAAGATTTACTTCTTCTTTTAATTCATAAAGGCGAGCCAACATGTTGCCTTTGGATAGCCAGCGTACTACTGTATGGAACAGAAGAACTTTGTGATCAGAATCGAGATCCTCGCAAAGTAAAGTAAATAAACGACTGTTGAAAGCGCTGCTCTTAATGTAGTTTACAATCCTTATAGCCGAGTCCAAAGTCTGGCGTAATTTCTGTGGTAATGTTTTGGAAGCCAAAGTTTGCCGATGAATAACACAATGTGTACTAACCATTGCGGGATTTTTTTCTTTGAGCTTTTTAGCTAAGCCCGATCGTACACCTATTATTGCAGGTGCGCCATCTGTGCAAAGTCCAATGAGTTTATTCCAATCCAAGTCATGTTTTTCAACAAAATTTGATATTAAATTAAATATATTCTCAGAAGTAGTACCTGCTGTCAAAGATTGGGAGTACAAAATCTCTTCTTCAATGATATCTCCGCCGATGTAACGAACATACACTATTAACTGTGCACAATTAACGATGTCGGTGGATTCATCGCAACTAATTGCAAAAAATGGCGATAATTTTACTTTGTTCATTATTTGTGACTTTATGTCTGCTGCAATGTCATCGATTCTACGCTTGACTGTATTATCCGAAAGAGAAATAGATTTCATTTTTTGCTCTGCATCTTCTCCTAAAATTATCTGCGTGGCTTTTAGGACACACGGTTTTATTAATTTTTCACCAATAGTATGAGGTTTCTTTTGCTTTGCTATCATAAAAGCTATTTCAAATGAAGCTTTGAGATGCTGCGATACACCTTTGTGATAACTTTCCGATTTATCCAATCTCATCCGCTTGAGTGATTCTGCTTTAGAAGAAAAAAACTCTTGCGTCTTCAAAACAAGAGTAGGATGTTGTACCTTCAAATGTCTTTCAAGGCGATTGGGCCTCATGCTATCATTACCTAAAACTTTCATACATATCACACACTGAGGTAACTATAACTCGTCTTTTTCTATGAAGGTAAATCCAAACTTAATATAATCTTCGGAAAACTTTCTTTTTTTCGCTGCCATTTTGCAACCAATAACAATAAAATAGTAATAAATAAACAAGCAAAATACCTACATGTAATTACTATTTATAAATGCCCATTTATCTTAATAACGTAATGTATTTAACGTTTCAAAATTAATTCGCCACGTAGGTTTGATTGTAATGTGTTAAAAAAGATCCAATGATCGATCTACGAACGCATCTTAGCTCAATCAATAATTTAGTAAATTAAATAAAAATGACAACTGTAGTTTGTAAATATACAAACTTACCTTTTAACAGTGAAACACAATAATTATACACACTCAAACTAATTTCTCAGCAACAAATTGATACCGAAACGTCAAATTTTTCGTAAATTTGTGTGAATGAATGTCACAGATGCTCATGCACGTCCGGTAGGTACTCAACTATTTTCTTCTATCTACCTATGATCTAATCCTAATTCCTCATGAACGTTATGCGGAATCGGTGCGGAGGGGTTGCGCGCGGATTTCATGTAGTGGCTTGTCGAAACTTATATAAACTGCGATTGACGACGTTGGTGTCGGGTTTTGAAACGGTTGTTGACATACTTAATTTCATTAATTTTATCCGTGTAAATTAAACATTACATTGTAATATTATTTGTAAATGTTGTTTGATTATTTTTTTTTTCTTTCTAAAATCGCAAACGTCTTCCGCCCCCCTTGACATCTCTCTATGCCCCCCTTGGGGGCATGCCCCCCTGGTTGGGAACTCCGGCTTTATAGTATGTAGATTACTAGCTTTAAATGGATAATTTATTATGAATGGATGATATTGTTTTTTTTTCAATCAGCCAATACAATTTCTTATATCTAATATAAAGCTACCCTCTTTTCTTTTTGACATGGACTTTCCAGCGCAGTCTCGCAGTTTGCTGATGTTGCATAAGGAACTTGGGTATCACAATTTATTCAAACTGGAAAATTTTCTATTTTTGTATTTGTAAAGTTAATGTGTGCCGATTTAGTCTCATTTAATTTTATTCGCCATTTTCTGGTCCAGGTATATTTTGTATTTACTGATAGTTGGAACTTATCAGTCGCTTCTTCATTAGTGTCTCCTATCGCTAGTATGACTATATCATCCGCGAAGGTGGCAATAGTGTTTTGTTCTAGCTCTGGAATGTCATACGTATACAATAGGTACAGGACCGCGCGTACACTCCCTTTTTCTTGTTTAACTCTGAAATATCTAGTTGCAATGTATGATTCAAAGATTTCTGTATACTGTTTAGGCATGAACGTTGTTAGTTTAGAGTTTAAACCCTTATGCAAGATTTTATCAAACGCCTGTGCTACGTCCAAGAAGATTGTAGAGCAGACTTTCTTTTCTTCTGTTTTTTCTATTATATTCGTTATTCTGTGAACTTGATCTATAGTGGAATGTTGATTTCTGAAAGCAAATTGATGATTTGGTATAAGATTTTTTCTTTCTATAATTGGTTTTAATCTTTTCAATAAAAGTTTTTCAAATAGTTTTGACATCACCGGAAGGGGTGATATTGGCCGATAGGATGTCACTTAATTAGGGGATTACCTGGTTTGGCAATCATAATGATTTCAGCTACTTTCCAGTGTATGGAAACATATCTCAATCTAAAAGCAGAATTTATTAGATGGATAAGCTTAACTATGACTTTTCTTGGTAGATTTTTTAACAGTTCTCCTGTTAGGAGATCATATACTGGAGCTTTCTTAGGATTTCTATTCTCTTTTATCTCTATCGATACTTCTCTAAATTATGTAAACGTTATTCTTACTTTGGTTTGGTATGGTTCTTCCATCTTTAGTTCTTTACCATCATTGTCGTTGGGTTTAAAAGTGGTTTCTAAGTTGCCGTTTTCCAACTATATAGGAGGATAATGAATAATTGGTTCCTTCATTTTTTTTTGTTGCTTGCCATAACGGATAATCAGCAAAATTAATTGTATGTTCAAGGTTTATTTTAAAGCTCCCACAGTCAGTTTTTTTATTAGTCTATATTGATTTAATCAAATAACCTGATTATTTTTCTGTGAAGTTTGTAAAACACCCTGGAAAAATTATTCTAGGGTCAGTACACATAAAATTGTTTTACCAAAGAATTGTTATATTGCAGGAAAAATAAATCCATGCACGATGCCCTTATATGATCTACTAGCTGTTGATGATGTTTGGTTGGAGTCAATGTTATCCAAAAATCCGGAACTAGCTGGAAAGGGTCTATGTGTTATTATGGATATTAAAGATCAGAATTGGAGGCTTAGTAAGTGGATGCAGCCAAACAATGTCCGACAATCAATGAAGAAAATAGAGAATTTACCTTTTAAAGATTACAAAATTCACGTTGTCAATAATTCTTGGTGGATAAGTCTTGCTATTAAGATGGTTTGGCCTTTTTTACCTCAGAGGTATAAAGACATGGTATGTATATTGTTACAATGTTTTTATTGGTTAATAAGAGATCCTAACCGACACTAAAATACATATATACATTAAATTAAATACAGCTTGTACGTAAATTAATTACCAATAGAAAAACTTGTTTCTTACTATCACATAGCTACTGCTTTTTGGCAATAAAAATTTTTTAAACTCAAATAAAAAAGGTGGAAATACATGTTTGCTGCATAAATATTATTCAGCCTCAAATTCAAAGAAAGTTGCTATTACTATCATCGAGTTGGTTAATTGGCTTAGCATTCTTCAAATGTAATAAGGATTTTGCAGAACACTAGTCAAAGTTAAGAACATTGGTGGCGATAATTTGTAGATTGGAAATATTTAAGATAATTATAATATATTTTACCCAATTAGCGTTGGCGAAACATTTGTGTGTAGAAAAGAACCAAGTGCCAAAAAAGACAGAATGACATCAGATATTATAAAGCCCGCAGAAGAAAAACGAAAGTACAGAAATAAAAATAAAGAAAAATATAAGCAAATGAAGAAACTAGTAGAAAATCAGATCAAAACTAAAAAAAAATTAAAGGTGATACAAGGAGGACAATACCACAAGTCATATGAAACTCCAATAGAGATCTCCAATTATCAGAAGAAAAAAAAACAAACTTGGGAGGAATACATCAAGAACTTATTTACAGATAATATGGAAAGAAATAAATGAAACATTAGCAACTGATGAAAATATACAAATTCTAATATTAGAGGTGAAACAGGCAATTAAAAACTCAAAAAGTGATAAAGTGTCTTGATGAAATTCCAGTAAATAAAATGTAAGGATTTGAGGGAGCATCAATAATAAATACCGCAATCATGGTAAAAAATATAGAAGATTTACAAATTCTTATAGAAATCATTAACAGAGAAAGTAAAAAGATGGGACAATGAATGTAGATAAAACCAAATACATGGTGATCTCGAAACGTCCTGTTGACAACACATATTTGACATTGGAGAGTAAACCATTAGGGAGGGTCGGCAAGTATAAATACTTCGGGACAATTTTAAACTCATAGTTAGATCAACATGAGGAGATAAAGGTCAGAATTGAAAAAGCTCAAAAAGGATTTATAAAATACAAGTCAATGTTTTTAAATAAGAAATTGAGTATGGTTATCAGATTAAGGTTCGTCGAATGCTATGTATGGCCACAACTGCTATATGGGGTAGGAGCTTAGACTCTGCAAGCACAGTATGAAAAAAAATTAGAGGCATTGGAAATGTGGCTATATAGGCGTATTCTAAAAATTCCTTGAACTGCAAAAGTTTTAAACTAAGAAGTTTTAAGACGAGTTGGGTATGGTAGAAAGCTTATGAACACAATTAAATTAAGAAAAACATCGTATCTGGGCCACGCCACATACTTCGAAATGATAAATACTCTCTTCTGCACACGTCATCGTGCAAGGAAGAGTAGAGGAAACAAAGGCTTGGAAAAAAAAAGAAGTCTTGCCTGAGGAATGTTAGAGATTAGACTAAGCTCAGTGTTTAACAGATATTTTACCTTGCAAAAGATAGGGAAGCGTTTAAAGAAGTGATCGCCAACGTTCGCTAGAATATGGTACAATAAGAAGACCCAATAAAAAAGGAGTCTTTCGACGAACACAGTGGTGTTATACTACTGCATTGTAACTACGTGCATTGTAATTATTAACGGGAGGCCTATGTTTAGCAGTGGATCAAAATCGCTATTTACGCAAAAAATGCAGTTGTATCACAATTAAAAATAGACAATGTTTTCCAATTGTCTGGGCGGTTTTCTTTTACTTTCAAAATTGCTTTTAACACTTTCGTGAGAAACTTTATTTGGTAACCTTTTTTTATTATATGTTATACATTTTCAGATAAAATTCCACTTCAACAATATGGAGAGCTTTTACGAATACATAGATCCAAAAGTTTTACCGCCAGAATACGGAGGAACGAAGGAAATGACATATTCGGAGATATTCGAGCAACTTTATGCTAGAAACGACGAGATATTTAAAAGCTATGAATCGTACAGATTTTTTAAAGAGTAATATTTTATAATAATTATTAAATAAGCATTTGTTTGTGATACCAGTTTAATTTTATTCATATTAGAATTAAGATAATATTTTTAATATATAAGGAATTAGTAAATTTTTGTAAGAGGATATAATGTTATAATTATATTTTTACTTGATGTATGTTAACTATTTTTTTCCTTTCCTTTTTACCTTTTAAAAATAAAGAAAGTCAAAGAGTCGTCGTCTAAAAACAAATGTATAGAAATGAAAATTTTGAGAGTGATGATTTTGAAGTCTGATATTTACTAAGAAAGACATCAATCTAAAAGACCAATGAAATATGCTTGATTAAGAACATGGAGCAACGCAGTACAAAATACATCAGAATCAACAGGAATACAAGGAAATCCAACGTACGATAGAGACAGCTTTGGACTACATGAAAAGGTCAAAGAAATTTCGAATATAGGTATACAAGAAACATCATGAGACTCGCCTTAAGAATGATCAAGGAAACTACGTTCATACCTAGGAAGAACTAGCTAAAATCTGGGCAAACTATGCTTCGTCCCTCTTTCCGGATAATAGACCGAATCTGCCAACTACTAACTTACCCACGGAAAATTTATCCGGCCCTCCCATTATTCGCGCCGAGGTGGAGTACGCTATAGTAGCAAAACTAGGAAAGCCATAAAACTGTTGGAAGATGATAACATCGACATGCTGGTAACAATTTTCAATGCCATATATAACTCCAGCCACATTCCAACGGATTGGCTTTTTTTAATGTTTATAATAATCCCTAAATCATAAAGATCGACAAAATGCAAAGACCACAGACTGATTAGTTGAATGAGCCATTTGCTTAAGCTGTTTCTTCACATCCTTCACACAAGAATGTTTAGAAAGCTGGAAGATTTATTACACATCTAAGACACAATTTATTTTCAAGAATGGACTGGGCACACGTGAAGCAGCTTGAATGTGCTTGTAGAAAACTGCATGGATCAACGAAAAGATATAATTATAACATTACTCGATTATGAACAAGTTTGACACTGTAAAACAGAACCGAAGAGAAAGATATGCGAGTTATCCAGAATCTCTATTGGAATCAATCAAAAAGCATGTGTGAAACTAAACAAATCAGCAAACACAGAAGAATTTGAAATTTTAAAAGGGGTGTATTTTTTCTCCTATGCTCTTCAATCTCTATGTGGAGAACATTTTTGCAGAGGTACTGGAATGATGATAAATGACCGATGGAATCCTCAACAAGAAATAAAATGAACTACCGAACAAGCAAACAAGCTTTTATCAAATTTAAACCGCTACTATGTAACCGCAATCTTTCCTTTAATCTCCGCTACAGGATGGTTAAATGCTATTCATATTCCATATTGTTATACGGCATGGAAACATGGACGTTAAGAGTACCTTCCATTAATAAGTTGGAGGCCTTCGAAATGTGGACGTTGCGAAGAATGTTCCGCATACCATGGACAGATAGGGTGAGAAACGAGGAAGTCTTAAGAAAGGCAAATACTGAGAGAGAACTACTCAATTTGATCAAGTTACAGAAAATTCGATACCTCGGCCATATGCTGAGAGGAAAAAAATACGCAATCCCTCAAATAATCATCCAGGGAAAGATTGAAGGTAAGAGAGGAGTAGGTCACAAAAAAATGTCGTGGCTACGGAACATAAAGAACTGGACAGGCATAAATAACACTAGTGATCTTTTGCATGCCGCAAAAAGCGTCTGGCCTTAAGGTAATTCGCCAATCGCACTATAGGTGCACGGCACTATAAAAAGAAGAAGAACAAGGAGACAATAATTATTATATATTTAGAAAAACAAATAAGAGATAAAGTAAATATATACAAACATTCACTTGTTTTTTATTCGAGGATCTGTGGTAGAAATACTCTAGTCTGGTATCTAGTAAAGATACTGGCTAACTGGAAAATTTTGGTAATACTATTAGACACCTTGAAAATATGATTTCTGATCATTTAGGAAGAGATCCAAGGTAAACATGGTCCTGGTAGAGGAACATCATCGCAGAAAAATCTAAAATAATTGTACGGAAAATTGACTACATCGTTATTTAGAGCTGCTGTCAATAAAATCACGATAGAGCATATGTTAGCCATGATATCCAACCATCGATAACGGTCGTGGAACTAGAAGACGAAGAAGTCGTCTTTTACCTGTAAAAGTTACAATGGCATTTGCCAACTAGTTTTTTAGCGTATGAGTAATGTCTAAATTTTTTTTAACTTAGATTGGATAATATTTTATATGGTGTATTTAGCAGCATCAATTCCTGCAAGTCCACATTCCAAGTGCTCTCCGTTTTTATATAATGTTATAATTATACTCCGCTATAGCTGGTCCCAAGCTCAATTGGGAAAGAAGGCGGAAGAAAAAAATAGCTGACACAGCCGTAGAAGGGCGCATTTATTGATAAAAGCATGCTTAATACGCAATACTACAAAAAGCCTTCCGGCTGACTAATTAGCCTCTGACAACTCTGTCAGCAAATCCTAGTCCAGGATGAAATAAGATGAAATCGAGTATCGAGCGCTTCCAAACTGGTTCTTTTGACCAAGGGTAGAAGGCATCTACAGAAATCTTCCTGGTCCTCCTGGTTGGGGGTTGACTAACTTCTCAATACTCGAAAAAAAAAAAAAATAAAATATTAGAAAACCCAGCAATCAGCCTTGGACGGAACTCTAAAAACAAAGACGACTCGAACTATGAAAAAGACAAATTATTTTTGGAACATGGAACATCCAATGCCTCACCAATAAAATAAATAAAGTACTAATAGAAAGTTCTACTAAAGTACTAAACAAGAAGTATCAATAATGATAGGTAAGAGTTTGAGGAAGCACATCACGTCATGGGAAGCAATCAATCCCAGACTGATAAAAGTTAACACATCTATCCACAGCTAAAAAAATAACGATACTAAAAGTTTACGGAGTGAACGATAATGTCACCACTGCTATAAAATATGAATTCTACCAACAACTAAATGATGACAAAATTAAAGCCAATAGAGACATAATTATACTCGAAAATTTAAATGGACGACTCAGCAAGAACAAGCAAAATAAGACCATCGAACAGCACAGAGAATATGTTACAAACCACAACGGCCTACGGCTTTTCTTATCTGTGAACAAAATAACCTGAAGATATTAAATGGTTTTTACCAGCATCAATATATACATTATTATACATAGACTAAGAACACAAGAGGCCTCAATTTCATAATAGACTACAGCATTATAAGACAAATGCGGTACAAATAGTTGGGGGATATCAATGTGGTTTCCGCAGGCAGAAGTCCACAATAGATCAGATCTTTATCTTGAGGCAAATCTTAAAAAAGACTAGTGAATTAAATATAGACACACATCATCTTTTCATTGACTTTGAGAGTGCCTATGATAGCATCCATCGACAATTTCTGATCCATTCACAGAAAGAGTTTAATAATCCAACTCAACTCATTGATATAATAAAAGAAACACTTAAAATACAAAACAAAATTCGAATTCAAAACGAACTAACAGACACGGGCTCCAGAATCCATGTAAGAACGGGCCTACGACAGGGAAATGCCCTATCCTGTATCCCATTCAACATCACATGAAGAAGAGCGGTAGAAAGAGCGGTACAAAACAGTGGCCTTAACATTAATAAAATAAAAACCAAATACATGAAGGCCAGTAAATCGACAGGCCAAATAAACCTACAGAATCTGACAATAGGAGACTATAACATCGAAAGCGTGAAAATTTTTACATATCTAGGTTCACTAGTTACCGCAGATAACAATGTCAGTGAAAAAGTTCAGAGAAGAATACATATCGCTAATAAAACATATAATGGATTAATTAAACATCTAAGATCTAACAACATCACAAGAAAAACCAAATGCAAAATATACAAAACCCTGATAAAACCAGTCCTTGTATATGGATCAGAGACATGGACACTGTCGGAAAGCAATGAGAACCTATTAGGTATATTTGAACGAAACATCCTTAGACACATATATAAGGGGGTAAAGAAAAATGACATATGGCGCAGAAGATATAATTTTGAACTATACACAGCATACAATGAACCCGAGATCATAACATCCATAAAGATCGGACGTCTGCGCTGGATGGACCATGTTAAACTTATGTTGGAGACTAAAACACCAAGTCAAACACCAGTAGGGAGAAGATCAAAGAGAGGACCCAAACTTAGATACATGGAACAAGTGAAACAAGATCTGAAAACACTTAAGATTACCAACTGGAAAAACAAAGCAAGGAACAGAACAGAATGGCGGAAAATCCTAGAACAAGCCAGGACCCAGAAAGGGTTGTCGAGCTACTGATGATAATGATGATGATTATAAGACAAAAATCCCGACTGATAGTATGCGATGTTTAAGTAAGCAGAGAACCAAGCTGTGGTGTGACCATTACTTTCTAGAGACTAGTATAACTTACACACCAATAAAATTAGTAGACACAAATATTGCAGAGCAAAACGAAATAACAAAAAAAAGAAGACATGATCTTAACAGCTTGGGACATGACAGTGTAAGAAGATTGTACAAAAATAGATTAGATAACCAACTTAACACCAGAAAAAATATTAACTCGATAGAAGAACAATACAAATGGAATGAATGAAGGAATGGATCTAGACATTTTCCTTGGGAGGACTTTCAACTTGGGAAGAGAACTTTGAATAAAACAACAATCAAAAGACAACATATGTTTGTTTTAATTTTCCATCTTCGGTGCGGGGTGGGGAGGGGGTAGAATTTTACATATTTCTCCATGTATCTGCCCCTGAGGTGAGCATGAAATCAAAACTGAAATCAAGGATAAAAGACCAAAATATTTAAAATAAAAGTACCTAAATATTTAAATACAAAGAATATCGATGATGCGGTCACATTCAAAGCAGCACAAGCAGGAATCATTAAAATAAATAACTTCGAAAATGAGTGAAAGTTGGACAATTCAAAACGAAGTGTAACAAGATAGTTACATACTACTTACACTAAAACAAGGACAATGGACAAGCAAGGGACAAAATTATTGAAAAATTATTCTACGCTCTACATTCTCTCTCCTGTTGCCGACAAGAATGTAGAGCGTGGAAT